AAAAAAAAAAAAAAAAAAAGAAAAAAAAAAAAAGAAGTAAGCAAGAGAGTCAGGTATAGTGGCACATGCGTGTAATCGCAGCACTCAGGAGGTTGAGGCAAGAGGATCGCTGTGAGTTCAAGGCCAGCCTGGGCTACAAAGTGAGTTCAAGATCAGCCTGAACTGCATAGTGAAACCCTGTCTCAAAAAGAAAAAAAAAAAGTATACAAGCAAGGGAAAAAAAAATCCCTAAGATCTTTAATTCATTTTAGCAGAAAATAAAGAGTAATTATCACAAGATACAAACACCACTGTCTCTGATACTAACAAATAAAAACATGCTGAAGCCAGTCATTGTAATGTATGCCTGTAATCTCAGCACTCTGGAAAACTGAGGCAAGATCATAAATTTGAGCCCAGCCTAGGGAATTCAGTGATTTTATAAGGCCTTGTCTCAAAATAAAAAAGGATTGGGGATATAGCTCAATGTTAAGGGTCTAGATTCAATTCCCAGTACTGTAAAATAAATAAGTAAATAAATAACTTTAAAAATAAAAAATTGCTGAGACTAAAGTGATTCATCTGTATTTTCATTACAGGCTCATTCACTTGTAAAGAAAGTATTTTTACTGGACAAATGGTGTCCAGCAAATGATTTAATCTGTGATGAATATACTATTATCATTTCTTTGAATAAGGTAGTACATATAACTCATGTGTCTTAAAGTTCTTCATGTAGAATTATTGAATGTAAACATCTCAAAAGATGAAATACTAGTAATTACCACTAAGCTAGTTTACAGTTAGAAGATGTAATAGAAACTTCAATTTATTTTAATGGTCTTTGGAACTTTATATTTTTTGCATAAAAAAATTATCTCAAGCTGAGCATGGTGGTGCATGCTTGTACTCGGGAGGCTGAGACAGGAGGATCACTGCAAGTTCATGCCAGCCTAAAGTACATTATCAAGGCCATATCTCAAAAACCAAAAAAAAAAAAAAAACAAATTTGAAATTTGAAATTATTTCAAATCTCATTTATGTTACATTTATCAATTTCAATCTTAAATCCATACAAATTTTCCTACCTAGGTCTGTTACTTGTCGATCAAATGGGCAACGTATTGCTCTTCCATGAAGAGGTAAGCGAGTGAGACAGTCATGACACACTGTGTGGCCACAAAGCAGAAGGCGAGGAACTTTGTCTCCTTGCAAAGAGAAGACATCTTCACAGACTCCACATTCCAGAACCTAGTATTTAAAACAGAAACATGCACTTTAATTCATTTGAACGCATATATTTTTAAGGTTTAAAAAAATGTGACCTAATATAATGAATTAATCTTGTCACCTTGTTCTTTCATGAAAAAAAAAAAAACTTTCTAGGTTATAAAACCTTAAATCACTTTTTAGTCATTCCGTCCAACAGACCCTGACAAAATCATAGTACTAGAGATAAAGATAATGTTATAAATTACTATCATCTTTATCTTTTAAAAACAAAATTACTAACAATATATAATTTTATCTACATTCTCAAGCAATTTCTCTGCAACAACCTTACCCCATTAAACTATTAATTTCAACAAAAATCTAAAATGTGTGCTAGGGGGCCAGGAATATAGTTCAGTGGTGCTGCGCGCCTGTCTGGCAAGTGTGAGATCCTGAGTTTGATTCTCAGCACCACAAAAAAAATGAATGAATGAATAAATAAATAAATAAATAAATATGTGTGCTAGGATGACAGCTGCCCTTCTAAATGATAAAAAAACTTGTAAGAAGGGGCTGGGGATTTAGCTCAGCGGCAAAAGCGCCTGCCTGGCAAGCGCAAGGTCGTGAGTTCGGTTCCCGGTACCGGAGAAAAACCAAAAA